ATGAACTTAAGGCTTAATGTGAACGGCTGCAACAGGAGGAGAAATCAGTGTCACTTGCTACGGCCTTGTTCTGGATTTTGTAGCTTCTCTGTGTGCTGCTTCATGAGGAAAGGAAGAAATGGATTCTTACAGGAGGGCTTTAATGCTTTCAGGATTCTGCTGCTGATGGAAGACAGGAAGTTTTATTTCTCCTACTGCATGTAATTTAGAAGCATCGACCCTGCGGTCATGCTTCTAGCCTGGTCATGTTGTCACGAAACCTCTCGCTCTGGTTTTCAGCTGCTGGATGTTGACCCCAATGACCAGGAGGAGGATGGAGCAAACATTGACCTGGATTCCCAGAGAAAGGGCAAGTGTGCTGTGATCAAGACCTCCACACGCCAGGTAAGACCCGTGTGCCCAGCAGGGTGTGAGGAGTGCTGAGAAGCACCCGACCTTGGTATGGCTGCTCTTGCTTACTGGGACTCCTTTCCTACAGACGTACTTCCTGCCTGTTATTGGGTTGGTTGATGCTGAGAAGTTGAAGCCTGGAGACCTAGTGGTGAGTGATGCTGTTGTGACTGTTAGGTATGATGTTGGCCAGGAAGTGGCGTGTGTCTTGCCCTTTAGAAAGGAGACAAATCTGTCCAGATTTTTCCAAGACCATTTACTAGAATTTTAATAAAAAGATGTTACAAGTTCAGTCATATTTGTAGTATAGAAAAGAAGTTGGGGAGGTGTCTTCACACGTACAATCAGGTGCTGGAAATTTAGATATCATTTAGCAAGCTTTCTAAACCCAGGTTTTTGTACTGTAAGTAAATTGGGCCCCTTTCAAAAACGTGCTGGGTTAGCTGTGGCGTTGCCCGCTGTGCCAAGCTGTGGTGACCTTAGAAGTGCCATTGCCAGAGCTGGTTATTCCAGGGTCCTGGAGGTCTGGGGAATCATCTCTGATTGTGTGTTTACTAATTGCTGTCTGAGGGGCCTGTCAGGAGCAAAGGACTTGTGTTTACAGGGAGTGAACAAAGACTCCTACTTGATCCTGGAGACTCTGCCTACCGAATACGATTCACGAGTGAAAGCCATGGAGGTGGATGAGAGACCCACAGAGCAGTACAGCGACATCGGGGGGCTGGATAAACAAATCCAAGAGGTGACACTCCGCGTTCCGTTTCTGGGCTGACTGAGGACTGAGCATCAGCTCAGAACGTCAGCTGGCAGCAGGCAGCCTGGGTGTGTGTGGGGGGAACAGCTTTAGGTGTTAATATTTTTCTTTCACTGCAGCTGGTGGAGGCCATTGTCCTGCCGATGAATCACAAGGAGAAGTTTGAGAACTTGGGAATACAGCCGCCCAAAGGAGTCCTTATGTACGGGCCTCCCGGCACAGGGAAGACGCTTTTAGCTCGAGCGTGTGCTGCCCAGACCAAGGTAAAAAGGACCTTGGAAAGCGTGTGCTGCTGTGGAGCAGTAGTTGAAGAAGAGTAAGAGGCCCTCTGTGGAGAGAGGACTCATCGGTACAAACTGGTGTTACAGGGGTGGGGTTTCCTTGTGTGCTTGCTTGCTGGTTTAATTAAGGGCTTCTTGTAGCGCTCAGTCCTGATCCCGTTGAGAAACGATTTTCCCTTCCCAGGCTACGTTCCTGAAGCTCGCAGGTCCACAGCTCGTGCAGATGTTCATTGGCGATGGAGCTAAGCTGGTACGAGATGCTTTCGCTCTGGCCAAGGAAAAAGCTCCCTCCATCATCTTCATTGACGAACTGGATGCCATTGGCACCAAAAGGTGAGGTGTAGGCCATGCCGCAGAGCCTGGCAGCTGCCTGGAAGCCCCCTCTGTCTGGCTGGGTGAGGTTCAGAAACAGAGTGTAAAGCAAATCACAGGCAGCAGTTGCCACAAGCCTTGGGCTCTTGAGTGAAGCACATGAGGCTCGAGATCCATCTGATGGGCTCCTGCTCTGCAAAACTCTGTTCTGGTAACTGTATCGGGCATGTGGTGATGTTCACCCTCATTTACTACTTGGGCCTGGACAATATGAGCCCCATTCAGCTTTAGGGACATAATAAATTAGACTTGGCTGCTGCTGACAGTCATTCTAGTTGCAGTCCTCATCGAGGTAGGGCTTCCTGTAGTTTCAAGGGGGAACTGGGAAGACCTTGGCCAAGGAGTGCGCACTGCAGTCATTCTGGTTTTTTATGTGATTAAAATCATGGAGGCAGGGTGGTCAGGCACATTCTGCCCTTGTCTCTTCCTCAGGTTTGACAGTGAGAAGGCTGGTGATCGGGAGGTGCAGAGGACCATGCTGGAGCTGCTCAATCAACTTGACGGTTTCCAGCCCAACACACAAGTCAAGGTTGGGAGCTAGCAGAGAGCGCTGCTGAGGGCCAGGGTGCTTTAGCAGGGGATGGAAAACAATGTCCAGGGAAGAAACTTGGTGGGTCCTTGGGGAGGAGAGGCCTGTCCTCCAGATACCTGAGACTGATGACCCTCCTTCTACGTAGGTGATTGCTGCAACCAACCGGGTTGATATCTTGGACCCAGCTCTGCTCCGCTCTGGCCGATTAGATCGCAAGATCGAGTTCCCGATGCCGAACGAGGAGGCCAGAGCCAGAATTATGCAGATCCATTCACGCAAAATGAACGTCAGGTATGGAAGAGGCGTGACCTTCTGGGGCTGTTTGTCACTCACGCTGGCACTCAGGGCTGTGGCATGGTAGGCTCTCTTTTGCTGAGAGCTCAGCTGGGTTTTAAGGAAGCTCCACACCTTGTTTTTTCTAGCTGGTCCATGTTCTCAGAGTTCTTTTTTCCCCCCCTCTCAGCCCTGATGTGAACTACGAGGAGCTGGCTCGCTGCACAGACGACTTCAATGGGGCCCAGTGCAAGGCTGTGTGCGTTGAAGCGGTAAGTGCTGCTCCGCAGCCGCCAGCGCTGGTGGGAGCGGTGTGGAAGCCGGCGTGGAGGAGTTCCTCTGGGCTGATGTGATGGGCACACATGTGCCCTCCCTAACTGCTGTCTCGTTGGGCAGGGGATGATCGCCCTTCGCCGCGGAGCTACGGAGCTCACCCACGAGGACTACATGGAAGGGATCTTGGAGGTCCAAGCAAAGAAAAAAGCCAATCTGCAGTACTATGCCTGAGCTGCTCGGTCAAGGTCGTGGCCACGGCAGAGGACAGGGCCAGACTGGACTGTACCACTGACGTTCTGCCTGGAAAAAATAAAGCGTTTTTTTCCCTCTAAAACCAAATCAGTGCTGGGTTGGGGCTGTTGCCATTGCGCAGTGGTTCTGCACCTGCAGAAGGGAAGGTGAGAACCTCCTGTCCGCTGCCCTGGGAGCCTTCCTCTGGCTAGAACTGGGTTCAATCCTGCTCTAGTGCTTGTGGGTGAGCACCAGCAGGTTATGCTGCAGTAAGTGTACTCCGAACCTGATGATGTGCAGCACAGCCAGGGAACGGGCTGTACAGCCTCGTTAGAGTCCTTGAAGCTTTTGAACTAACACTCACTTTGCAAGGGAGAGTTGAACACCAGTCACACGTTACGATGTTTTAACTTTGTCTTTTAAACTTAACACCATTGGTGGTGTGTATGTGTTCTCCCTGGTGAATCAGTCTGGTAAATAGTCGGAAAGAATTCAAGGATTCATCCACTGAGCAAGTCTTTGAGTACTTTTAATGCCAGTTGAGAATTACAACTTCCATTTAAAAATTACACTTTTCATAATTACACGGACTTCAGCATTCAGTATCTTACATGCCACTGTATTGTATTTGAAATACAATGTAAACATCTCCACGTGCTGGCCATCTCATCCTTACCTGTGCAGTTTTTGGAGGCTGGGGAGAGGGGCGGGGAGAAAGAACAGATGAACGAACGGAAACTGCACCCCCAAGTACTTTGGCCGCTGTTCCTGAGTTAGCTCTGGCACTCGTGCTGGTTCCGAGGTCCTTTCCTGCTCGTTTGGGAGAGGGGCTCGTTCCAGCGGAGCACGCGTGCCCTCGACACGCTGTGCTCGGGGGCAGCGGACGTTAGCAAGGGGCGAGTGGCGACGTGAGCAGAAGCCACGTGTTCCTGAGGAAAATACACGGCGGTTCCTTTGGACATGGTTAGACTAGAGGGAGCTGTACATCTGCTGCTGCGTCAGCAGTACTGCTGTGAGCTCGGGGGGATTGCTCATGGCACAGACAGGAGCTGCACCCACCAGTTAGCTAGGGGTGAAAGTTGATCCCAGCAGCTCAAACCATGACATCCTTTCAGAACTACACCCTGGCCTCAGGTGGCAATGGTTATAGGCTGCATGTTGGACATGTTTCCCCGTTAAAACGAGGGTGTTTTAGCCAAATGAGTAACCTTACCTGTAAGGAAAATGTCCCCCTCCTTTCCTAAAGCCAATAACTGTTTTTAGAGTCTTGATGCTTAGTTACAGCCAGCTCCTTTTGGAAACAGCTTTAGTAGTGAGTAAATAGCTGATGCTACAGCATGGAATAGCATGGATTTCTGATTTAAATCAATTAATACTAAGAATGGGCTAATTCTTTGGCCTAAACCTCGGCTTAGCTCAAGGTTCTTTTGGGAAATGATGGCCTGAGCCAACGCTAGACACGCCTGTTGCAAAAGTGTTCAAGCCAACTTCACGTAGCTCCTTGCCCTGACGTGGGTCTGAGTTACACAGACCTGCAGCAAGAGTTGGTGCGTAAACATCCCTTACAACCGGACAGTCGCAGGGCCACGGAGGTACAGTTCAAAAAACAGCACGAAAGAAAGACACGGCCTTGGACTTACTCCCTTGTAAACAGAAGAAAAACAACTCAAAGGAACTGTCCCCCTTAACCCATCGATGAGCAAATCGGCAATAATTCAAACCTGGAGTTACTGCAATGTCCGCGTCCGCGCCGGGAGCCCGGAGCAGCATCCCACAGGCTGGTGTTGCCGCAGCTATGGCACCGCTCTCCGCACGCCGGCATGCCGCCTCT